CTAAGGTTGTTAAACTTTTTAGTCTACATAAACTCATGATGAATCAGTAGACATGACTCATAAACTTGATATGTAAACTCGACTCACAAACTCATTAGAGTTTATGAAAAATAAAAATGACATATTAAAAACCTATAAATGAAACATATACATAATAGAACACAAATTAAAGTAAAATTTCAAATTACAAACTCCATAATAAAGTTTTTATCAAAAAAACTTCATAAAGAAATAAAAGTAGAAAATGAATCAAGCTATTACAAAATAAAGGGAATAAATACACATCACTTCGAAACACATGGCAACAGAAAGACGAAAACAATAATAAAAAACAATACTATTTTTAAAAAATGGCGATAAAAACATAAGTAAATTACTAAACTTGTTAGACAACGACAATGTATCTAGAGAGGAGTGAATATATATTCCTTTGGAAAATTCCAAACAAATTTGGTTTTGAAAAAAATTATCAAAGTACGACGCAGAAGCTTTTTCAAATATGGAAAAGCTCGGATATGCAAACTGTAAAACAAAATTCAATATGGAATATGAATGGTAATAGAATTAATAATCTTGAATCACTTGAACTTACTTATCTTTTAATCACTTTCACTTAGCAAGGCTATTTTCAATGGTAATATTAAAAGAACTAGTTTAGTCATTTATCAAACACTTGGTGTGCAAGTGAATTTTCAGAATTTTTCATTTGATTGTGTTAATACACAAAACCACTTATAATCAAAAGTGATTATAAGCTATGTCAACACTTGAGGTAAAATCAAAATTTATTAGGAAAATTCTTACAATTCAAATGATAATGCAATGCTATTTGACAAATTGATCAATGAGTATCAAAGCAAGTAAAAAGCAAAAATAAAAGTGACACAAGGAATTTGTCTTCACAGTTCCCCATTGTCGTCCTCGCATGTGGGTACGTCTACACCTAATTCCAATGGAATTAGGATAATTCTTACTATGAAAAATTGTTGATACAAGAGAAGTTTTCAAGAACAACTTCATAAATCCTAAGCTTTTCATTAATTCAACCCCTTCTCCATTTTTGATCTTGAGAGAGACCAAAACATAATAGATAAAAAATGACTATCTGGATCTTGCTACTCCTTTGCGCTCTTTATCTCCAAAGATTTCGCGCACCGTCAATTTTAAACTATTGCAACACAAGACGTCGATTATATTCGGTACTCCTAATTACTTCCTAGCAAAGATTACAAACACTCTAAGGTTCTTTGAAAAGATTTTAAGCACTCCAAGGTTATTCACTTTATCGCAATTACCTCTCAAACGTCTTGCACGAAAACCCCAAAATCAACCAATGATTTTGGAGGATAAACCCGAGGTTTTTCCTCGATGAAAATTCCTACAAAACTCCACTCAATACATAATTGGGCACTAGCAATCCTCGTCTAGATGACACCCCAACGAAACATTGTTACAGTGTAATGTTAGTGTGTATGCATAGATTGAAGGTTACAGATAGAGAGAGAAATAAGCTAATTTTATGGTTTTCAACAACTTACTAATGATGCATGAGAGAATATTTATAGTTTTGAAACTTTTAGGGAAAAAGGGGTAAATTCGGAATAAAAAGATTTAAAGAAATTTACCAAACATAACAGTATGTGTCGACCTATGTATCATATGTGTCGACACATATGTGAATTTTAAAATGTATGTTTCGACCTATGAGAAGTCATGTGTCGACCGAAACAAGTCAGAAGCTACAGGCTTTAAAACGATAGTAAATGTGTCAACCCGAAAAGTGGATGTGTCGACACATAAAATAAGAGTTTATGTAATTTTAGAAAAGCTCCAGTATGTGTCAACCTGAATCATGCATGTGTCTGCCTAAGACTTACAGAGGCTACAGGATTTAATAATGGGTTACATGTGTCGACCGGAAATACAGATGTGTCGACACATGCAGTGAAAAATCATGCAAAAAAACTATTTTTAATGACTTGAATCAATTTCAAAATGTTTTTTAATGATTCCTAAGACCTATAATACAGAGGAGTGCCACAAGGCATAAGAATACTATCCAATACTCAGAAGTGCAAGCTTTTCCCAGTTTTGACATCATTCGAAATATTTGACGACGAAGTTTGTACTCACATAACTCACCAATAATAATATGGAGACATGTGAGTAACATAAATAGTAAGCACACACACTTAAAACATATTGAATAAAGCCACAAAATAAAAGATCAACACAAGTAAATAGAGCAACAAAATAAAATAACAACACAAATTGAAAAAGAACATAGCATCCACGAAATAGGACATAACATAGCACAAATATGCAATGTGAATGCGAGAGAGTGGAGTTACTTAATCAACACTCAAAACCTAATAAAAAAATCCTAAATTAGGCTTAATTTGTTTATTAGGATTTGTTGTATAAGATTAGGCTTAATTTGCAACTTTATACCACAATTCAACCCCCATCTCTTGTGTTTGAAGTTACTTAATCAACACTCAAAACCCTTATATTTTGACTTCCATCTACTCTCACAACCTCTTCTTAAGACACTTAAGCCTTCACCACTATCAACATCCTTAAAATCTTTTATCATTGAAAGTTCCTTGAACCTCACAGTCGTGTGGACTTCATTCAAATTAATAGTATCTTCCTTACCCAAAAGAAGGGTATCCTTGAAGTTCTCAAAGTATTTCATTAATGAGCTTAACAAGAGTGCATGCTTGTCCTCATCATCAATATTTAGCTTTCTATAAATCATCAATGATCTTGCGAAATTCAATCATTTGATCCACTATGGATTTATTCTCTATCATTCAGAATTAGTAGAGTTATTATTTCAAACACAACATGTGATTCAAATACCTAGTCATATACAATGATTCAATATTTTTCCACATCAAAGCCGCAATTTTCATAGTGGAGACTTCCCTTAAAACTTTATCACCGAGGCACAAGATAATGACAGTCTTGCCTTATCTACCATCTCAATCTTCTAATGCTTTTGTAAGGTGTGCAAGAATCAATGTCTCTCCCTTCAATTCATCCACACTTTGGTGGAGTTATATTTGCTTGAATTTTCACATCCCACAATCCAAAATTGTTATTTGCTGAAGTTTTTTTGATATCCCATTTAAAATCATGGTTCTCACTTGTAAACTCAATCCTTTTTCCCCCACGGTGAGTGCCATTTGTTGTGAAACCGAAAGGTTCAACCACACTAAAACATTCTCTTTGAAAGTTTAACAATAATATTAATCAAACCACGAATAGTAATGTGTAGGACAAAGAAGAATAACAACAACCAAATGACCTCAAAAAAAATTAACTTGTCAAATAGTGTAAGTAAATCCACAACAAATATGATAAAGATAAAAAACTAGTGCATTAAAAACTTATTTTCCAATTCTATCAAACTGATCTTCTACGAGAAAGAGAACAACTATCTAATTCACTATACTTTCAAAAAATATTACAAGAGATTATAAATGAGTTACAAGAAAATAGTCTCCAAATTTCCAAGAACAAACTATATTTTCTACTCAAATAATTTTCAACCTATCAAACTCTCTATATATGAGTGGCATAAATCTAATGTACTTACAATTGTTTTTACATCCCTTTAGATATCTCCAAAGGTATCTAAAATTTCAAGAATACACTTCAAGAAATTTCCACCTTCGTTTCTATAAGTTTTTCACTAGGATTTCTACACCTCATGTAACTCGTACAAACAATAGGTGAGAGAACTGTATTTATAATTGTTAACACCCTAAAGATCCAATTCTATTCCAAAACACAATTCACCATTGATTTGATCTACAAACCGACCTGACACAAGAACCATGATACGTCACCATTGTCCACCACAAATCATGATTGACTGACCACCTATGTCGAATCTCCACCGTCTACAACATCATCGGGTCACTGTCGATTTACAGTTGATTTGTTGGGACCACTATTTCAGGCCTTCTTATCGTCATTTTTCGTTGATTTTATTAATAAAAAAAACATGTTTTTCTTCATGTTCACCATTTAAAATGTGAAGACATATTTCTACATTATTGATTTATCTTCAGATATTTTTGTTTTATTTCCTATTTTTTAAATAAATTAAACTACTATTTTACTATTTTTTACTTGAAAAAATAAACAATGATAAGAGTGTTTTTTATTAATATAACTATTTTTTTAATTGTTTTACGAAGTTAGACCCATCCAGACTCATTTAATAACTATTTGAAAACTTCAAATTCAAAGTTAAAATAAATCAAATTAAAAAAGAAACGTCTTGAATCCATATGTAGTTATTATGATTTAATTTTTTTCTCACTTTTATTGAACATCTAAGTCCACCATTCCCCCCTTTTCTGGATATAGCACTCCCCACAATTCCCCCCATTTTCTTCCAAGTCTTGTAATTATGTAATTTTTATTTCAATACACACATAATAATAATAATGAAGAAGATTAAAATATTGTCCCATGCCCTAATTTAAAAACACTTTCTTTGAGTGAAGTAACTCTAAAAAGGAGGTGATAAAAGCTGCCACCTCCACTACCATATTTCAAGCAAATAAATGAGTAAATTACTAAACCATCATCAAATACTATACTTTATACAAGTAATTTGCACATTTTTCAATTTCTTATATAAATAATAATAAAATAAATGGGGCTGCATGCATCCCCTTAAAAAGATATACATATTATTCAAAAATATCTCTACTAGCAAGAACAAAAGGTGTTTTAGGTAGCTAGCACCATCTGCTAAATTCAGCCATAAAACAAAGTACAATTAAAACTATAATCTAATGTCAAATGCTGCTGAATTTAACACTTGTTCCTGCCCCTCATCAACCTAATTTGTAGCTATTATAATCTTAATTAAACAACCTATCTTTAATCTCTATTTTTATTTATTTATTTCCATTCCCTTCTTTTTGCATACCAATTAATAATCATGTCTTCTTCTTCTTCCTTTTAGAGTCAATTATCTATCTTCCAAAGAGTGTACCTCCAAATGTAGGTGTCCAGAAATCAACACTAGTCTCATTAGTCATCGGAAATGTGCTTGAAATTGGCACCAAACAAAGCCCTTGACTTCTTAAATCTTGTTTTTTTCTTTCTAACTCCTTCACATTATCAGAACCCTACATTTACAAACACATATACATATCAATATTTAATAACAATTATTATATCCCCTCCGATCACTATTATAAATAAAAAATTTATTTAAATTTATTAAATAATTTATATATCTGACCTAAATATACAATAGATATATTAATTATTTAATAAATCTAAAACAGTAATTTGATTCGGACTACAATATTAGAATAAATAAAAGATAATTAATTTATTATGCACATATATAGTACCTGTTGGTGTTGAATAGGAGAACCATTTTTCATATATGGAGTGCTCAAAACCTAAAAAAAATAATAAAACAATGTTGGTATTATGTCTATAAAACAAAATTAATATTAAAATGTTTAATGTAAACAAAACTTACATGAACTTGATCATGAAGAAACTTGATGTAATCAATGGCTTCATGAAGAACAGAAGCTGTATCCGTCTATAAATCAAGATCAAAGTAATTAGTGAGCTTAATTAACTTAATCACCATTCTTGAACATTGTTTTAGAAAAAGGTAAAGGTTTAAATATATCACTTTCAAAGTAGCTGCTATATAGAAGAAAAAGTGAAAGAGAAATTCACCTTTCCAAAAGGTGAAACCAATTGCTGAAGAGCTGTTATACGGTCCCCTAGCTTCTCTTTCCTAACCTGCATGTCCACCATACATATATAGTTGCATACATATCAACTTGATCTAGTCTATAGATTAAAGAGTAATTATGAAGATTTAATAAATTAAGATAGATAATTAAAGAGTAAAGTACCTTAAAAGTTGGTAATGGTGATGGAGTCTCAATTCTTTGCCTCTTTACTCCAACTTCAGATGAACTCTTTGCTTCTGGTGACTTTTCTCTCTTTAGCTGCACATAGATCAATTTTTTAACATGTTATTATCCTTAACACACAAAAAAACCCTAATTATAGTTTTTTTTTACAGATTAACTAATATGTAGAACCACAGCCTAGAAAACTAATCGATATGATAACATTATTATGTAAAATACTTTTCACATCGGTTAGAATAGACTTTTCACATCAGTTAAACTTTTAAGATAACGTAAGAAGGTGTCATAGTAAGTCTGTAACATTTTACACCAGACGACTGATGGAGGTGAAAAACAGATAAATTTAACATTTATTTATATAAAAAATTACTGGAGATTGCGTGAGTAAGACTGAACTAATAGATAAATTTCAATATTGTTTGGCTGAACACATTTTTTAGGGTTTACACCTGGGAGTGGCTTCGTAGTTGTGTGTGAGTTTTTGGTGATTATTACGACTTTGTTTATAGATTAAAAAAATCAGATATGCAAATTATATACCTTGTTTAATAGAGTATTTGAGGAACTGAAATTGTTGTCATGAAAATTATGAGATTGATATTGTGATTGTGATGAAGCCAAAACTCCTGCTCTTATGTCATTGAGAGCCTCAGCTGAAGCATTCCAGAAAGGAGTATTATTTGAAAAGTGCAATCCACTAAGATGTTGCTTTGGCATTGAAGAAGGGTTTGTAAAAAGTGAGTTTTGTGGCTGTGGTTGAGAATCAAAAAAACTTTGTATCAAAGTTGAAGGGTAACAACCATAGGAATCAAGTGATCCAATTGGATATGATGATAAACCAGTGCTTGTTACAGAATTCAAACTTTGATGATGATCTATGCAAAATTCTTGTTCCATTGTAGATGAGAAATTCTTTGTGCTTTCTTCTTGAATCACAGACTCAAAATTGTTTTCTGACCTATTCAAAGGAAAAATAACAAAAAATAAAATTTTGGATCTTAATATATAAAAATTATATTCAAAATTATTATAGAACTTACAATATTGAGTGATTCCAATTTGATGAATTCGGAGACGATAGATCGAAGAACATGCTACTAGTACTACCGGTTCCATTAACCGATAATTGCGGCTTCGGAGAATCGAGAAAACTCAAAGAACAATCAGAAACATCAAAGTTATTGTTAGTTTCTTTCAAACCCAAAAACTCATTTTGCCAGTTACTATAACTCCCTGAACATGATGATGATGATGATGATGAGTTTATCTTAAGAGGAAAAACACTTCTTGTTGAATTATTAATATTCCACCATGTTTCACCACAAATTCCAGCTTGAAATTCTTCAGCCATGTCAAAATATGTTGTTATAGAATTTTTGTTTTTTGTTCTTCTTAACTCAAAAACTCAACTATGTTTATAAGCTCATTGAGATAATATTTATATATGGAATGGACAGGAATTTGGTTGACATTTCAAGAGGATGATTTGACAAATGAGAGAAATTTGAATCAAATTCTAATTCTTTTTCTAAAATATTTTTTAATTAATATATTATTATTTTAGTATATGTTCCTATGATTAATTTATGAATTGTCTTGGGTTTGTTTTCTCTTTGTCTTACTTTATTGAATAGTATATGAAGAAATGTAGTACATGCCGTGTGGACAATTTTGTTCCTTGTGTATAAAGTTTAGTGAGTATGATGATATTGGATTGACCATAATGGAGTGGTGTGGTCTTTTTATCTTCAATAAAATATTGATCATATGGTTGAAATTAATCCCTTCTTTTCAAATTGTAGTTGAAAAATAAAATATAATTCAAGACTCAATTGTGATTTTCTTTAAAAGTCAATGAAGTAAAAATATATTCCCTTTCGTTTAGGTTTGTTTTGCAAAAATTAGCTAATAAATCAAAATCGGATGATCTGAAAATACAGTTATATGTGAAAATTGAAAAGAAGATAAAATGATAATAACTCGTAAAAGTTTATATATCTCGAATTTAAATTTGGATACTAATATTGTCTTATTTGACAATATCAATAATATTTATCGGTTAGATTAAAATGTGTGGACAATTTTTTAAATTTTTTTTCTTTTTAACATTTCATTCATTGAACTTAATATGTGATCCACAAATTGTCTTTAAAAAAATTATAGACGTGGTGGACAATTTTAATAATTCAAAAAGGTGTGCTTGATGATAAACTTGAGGACCATTTGATGGTCCAAATAATACAGTAATAATACCAGGTGTATAAACTAAATCAATAGCTAGTAGTATTGAAATGTATTAATATTTCATCTTTTAAAGAAATGTGGCCAAATCGCAGAGAAAGCGCGTGTGTATCACGAGAGTTAGTAAAACTAAAACACAATGGACCAAATTCGCACATCTTTTGTTTTGTCCCCAAAACTGCTCCTCATTAGACAATTAACACTGATTAAGTATGGATTTAGGTTAATGTTCAACTACTGCACAATACGTGTGTTTAATGTCAAATACTAATTAAATGTAGTAGTTTCAGAAGAAACAAAATGAAACCTTGCGTAATTAAGTCAATGTCAACCCAAATATTTGGTATTTAGCTAGCTTTTGTTTAGATTAGATATTGTGTGATAATACCATAATCTTGAATAAGGTTTATACTTTGGGTTGAGACTTTATGATTAGGTATTTAATAAATCAAATCAGTTAATGAATGTCAAACCAGTGTTAAATTATATTTGTTTTTACTAAAAACAACAACACTCAAAAATAAAAAATAAAAATAAACAAATAAATTGCTAATCTATGTTAGCTTTCTATGCACAGTAATGGTAATGAAACTGAAAAGGGAATAATGTAAAGAAAGTATATGTAAGACTATGTTATTTCTGTGTAAAGTGAAAAATCACGTTAACATTCTTACAAAGCAGACAAAAGCATTATATAGTTGGGCTACACACATGGACCTTTATAAGACAAGTCCAATAACCCAACCTTAATCTATAGTATTGAATTATACTTAACATCTTCCCTTAATTCAAAACTATTATAGTGTTACAACATTTAACATTTTTCTCAATTCCTTGAATCTCTCACTGTTCATAGGCTTGGTCAAGATTTCTGTTATTTATAGTTCAGTCTTGCGTCAAGTGTTGGTTTCTTGTTGGTTAGATGGTTCTTTTCCCTAGATTTTATCGTATACTTTAGGATAGTCTTTTCATCTCCTATCATCTTTAATTTCAAAAATCTTCTTCCTCCTTTTCAAAACTATTCTTGTTTTCTAAAAAACTTGAATCACTTTTACAATAAACTTGAACTTAGGTCCATGCATTTTCAAAAATATTTTTTTAATTAAACTTTAAACAACTTAATAATATTTTAACATTTTTGAGAAGACTAAAAGTCAATCAATCGCATTCAAACCATTTTTTTACTTTAGCTTTTTACCTTAAAATTTTTTCTCAAAAGATTAGACTCTTGTCAATCCTTGTAGTGATGTGAACTACAATACTTTTACGATATGTAGTGAAGTGAGATATTTTCCACTTGGGTGTTGAGCGATGCTTTATAGATTTTAAAATCCAAGTCATATCCTCCACTTTGAGATGACGTAAATTCTCCTTTCTCATAATTGTGGGTAGTAAGTATGTTCTTCCACTCGGATAAGACGATTATGTCTCGTCTCTTAAAATTAACTAACACATTTGTGTTTTAAAATGTTTAAAGGTGAACTACGAGTACCCTGATCCCCTATTGCATGGAAGGTGGTACGTAGGTACTAAAGATTCGCAACTGCGTCGGGTGCAAAAATTATAAAAAAATACTTCTATTCTCATCCCCACAATCTATTTTTGTATACAACACTTATAGCCAAAATACACAAATTTTCAAAGAGGTTCCCGCAGAGTACCGTAGATGTTTAGGGTGCTAATACCTTCCATTTGCATAACCAACTCCCGAACTTAGATTCTCTCCCCTTCTTTTTTGGGTTATTCGCTCTTTTCCCATTCTTTTAGAAATAATAAAGCGTGATGGCAATTTTTATTTGATCTATGCAAGTCAAGTCAATCCAATGGCTTAGTCTCAATATTTCTACCGTTATAGAAAAAAATGGCGACTCCGCTGGGGAAAAATTAACCAAATGCTGATCCATCCATAAGTGGGTTGAGCCTATCTTTGTTTGTTTGTGTACGTGTTATTATTGTTTGTATATTATGTGTTGTATATATGTTTGTCTGGATTTTCCTGGTTTTCAGGGTGCTTGGTGATTTCTCATAAGCCCTCTACCCGGACTTGAGCAAACTTAAGATAGGACGGGCGGTATAGTCATGGTATCTTTGAGGGAGTAATCCCAAAAAAGGAGGCATGAGATCCCCCACTCAGTGGAGGCCCCTTTGATTGTAGTGTCGGGAAGACGTGTTGCTTTTGACTTGGGAGTCTGCTGAAGCTGAGGACCGTAGAACCCTTAACCAATCTTGGCCTTTTAGGTGTAATGCGGAAGTAGACTCTAGGAACCTTTTAGAACCTTGTTTGGCAGGTGATAAACTATTAGACCATACCTTATGGGTAGTACCTTTGACTTCATGCTTGTGAAGTCAAACCTATGAACCCCCCATGTTTGTGATCTTGTGTGTGATTGTTGCATCTTACATTCATGCGCCCATGAGCATCCTTTAAAACATGTATTTCAAGGGACTTGAAGTTGACTTTTTGTGAATATCTCAGGTACTTTTGACCATGGATTCTGGAAAAAGAAAAACTCAGAAGTACAGTTTCAAGGATCCTAAGATAGATGAATTGATGAGTCTGATTCCCGAGATTAAGAGTTCTACAGATTTTTGGAAGAAGTATGGATCCATTGTGTCTCTTATGAAGCTCAGGATAAAGGAGGGTATTTTCTCGACTTTGGTCCAGTTCTATGATCTGATGCATCGGTGTTTTACTTTTCCTGATTATCAGTTGATGCCTACATTGAAGGAGTATTCTTACATACTGGATTTACCTGTTATCGATCGTGTTCCTTTTACCGGTTTAGAGGGAGAACCCAAGTCCCATGAGATAGTTATTATGGTTCATTTGGGGAAGTCTGAGATTGAGGCCCACATGATTATTAAAGGAGGAATTAGAGGATTACCCGCTCAGTTTTTATTGGAGAAAGCTCGCTGCTTTTCTAGGATGAAGAGTATAGTTGCTTTTGAGACTATCTTTGCTCTACTTGCCTACAGGTTATTCTTATTTCCGAACATCGACAAATTTATGGATATCAATGCCATCAGGATCTTTTTTATTGGAAACCCATTTCCTACCTTATTAGGAAATTCTTATTACTCCATTCATCTTCGAAATTCTTATCATGGAGGGATGATCATTTGTTACACGCCTTTGTTGTATCAGTGGTTTATTTCTCACTTACCTCGGTCAGATGCTTTCTGGGATATCAAGAAGAAACCTCGTTGGACTCCGAAGATTGTGGCTCTCACTCATTCCGACATTGTTTGATATCATCGGGCTTACTATGATGTGGAGATTGTCAATAGTTATTGTAGTTTCCCCAATGTACCTCTTCTTGGTACAAATGGAAGAATTAGCAACAATCTTGTTCTTGCACAATATCTGCTTGGGTATCCGATGAGAGACAAGCCAATTAGTATTCATCTGAGTGGTTTCTTTCTTAAAGATGGAGAGGATCATAAGTAAGTTAAGAAGGAAATTGCAAAGGCTTGGCGCCATATTCACATGAAGAATAGAAAGGAATTGGGACTTAGAGGAGTCGTTTCTTTGGAGCCTTATCTCCGGTGGGTACAAGCAAGGGCAATCCAGTTGAGGATGCCATATTCCCATGAGGAACCTATGCCTGGCATATTTGAGAAGACCACTCCTCCCCTTTTAGATGATGTGGAAGAGCTTCAGCTTGTCCTAGTCAGGATGCAGTAGGAGGAGGAGGCTTGGAAGAACAAGTTGCATACTTTAGAGATATCCTGCCGAGCAGACTTGGAAGAGAAGGATGACCTAATCAAGATTCTAGAGAGTCGTGCTGTAGAGATGATGGAGAGGCAAGAGGACTCATTTTCCCCTAGAGCTCGATCAGAACTTAGTCATTCACTTCCTAACTCTGGTGATTGGAAAGAGGTCGCTGGCATGTATGTATAAGAGAACAAGCAATTGAAGGCTCAGATTGCAAGACTCACAGGAAAGCGTTAGTGTGTGGAGTGATCTTCATCAGATTTTCTTTCTTAGGATTTTAGATTCTATCTTCTCTTGTACTTGGGATTGTTGAAACTTGTACTAAAAAGTTGTAATCTATTTTGAAGTTATTATAATGAGATTTTCAGTATTTCAAAATGTTTAGTACTTTAGTA